GCCACTCTGGAAAACAGTATGGAGGGTCCTCAAAAAGTTGAAAATAGAGCTACCCTATGACCCAGCAATTACACTACTAGGTATTTACCCCAAAGATACAAATGTAGTGATCTGAAGGGGCACCTGCACCCCAATGTTTATAGCATTAATGTCCACAATAGCCAAACTATGGAAAGAGCCCAGATGTCCATCAGAAGATGAATGGATAGGGGCGCCTGGGTGGCTCAGTTGGTTAAGCAACTGCCTTCGGCTCAGGTCATGATCCTGGAGTCCCAGGATCGAGCCCCGCATCGGGCTCCCTGCTCAGCGGGGAGTCTGCTTCTCCCTCTGACCCTCCTCCCTCTCATGCTTTCTGTCTCTCATTCTCTCTCTCTCAAATAAATAAATAAAAACTTTAAAAAAAAAAAAAAGATGAATGGATAAAGAAGATGTGGTATATTTTTATGCAGTGGAATATTACTCAGCCATCAAAAAAGAAATCTTGCCATTTGCAATGACGTGGATGGAAATAGAAGGTATTATACTAAGTGAAATCAGTCAGACAGAGAAAGACAATTATCGTAAGATTTCACTCATATGTGGAAATTAAGAAACAAAACAGAGGATCATAGGGGAAGGGAGGAAAAAATAAAACAAGACGAAATCAGAGAGGGAGACAAACCATAAGAGACTCTTAATCATAGGAAACAAAGCGAGGGTTGCTGGAGGGGAGGCAATGGGGGGACAGGGTAACTGGGTGATGGACATTAAGGAGGGCATGTGATGTAATGAGCACTGGAGGTTATATAAGACTGATAAATCAGGGGCACCTGGGTGGCTCAGTCAGTTAAGCATCTGCCCAGGTTATGATCTCAGGATCCTGGGATCGAGCCCCACATCTGACTCCCTGCTCAGCGGGAAGCCTGCTTCTCCCTCTCCCTCTGCTGCTCCCCCTGCTTGTGCTCTTTCTCTCTCTCTCAAATAAATAAATAAAACTTAAGAAAAAAAAAAGACGAATCACTGAACTCTACCTCTGAAACTAATAATATACTAAATGTTAATTGAATTTAAATTTAAAAATTAAAAAAAAGAATATCTTTTATCATGCTAATAGTTTCACCTGATTTATAGGAATGTACCAGGATATTTTATTTATGCCTACAGTTGTAGTAATATAATATGGTATCAAAAGTTTTAATGTTGGGGGACCTGGCTGGCTCAGTTGGAAGAGCACATGATTCTTGATCTTGGAGTAATGAGATCAAGTCCCAGGTGAGGTGTAGAGATTACTTAAATAAGTAAAACTAAAAAAAAAAAAAAAAGTTTTTAAAGTCAAACTCTTAAGGACCACAAAAGAAGAAAAAAAAAGGATATGCTACACCTTGAAAGTAGATTTTTAAAAAATTTGTAAGATGGCATATGATATTACTTATCAGGTAACACAGAAACTTTTACTGTTGAAAGTGGAAAATATGGGGCGCCTGGGTGGCTCAGTTGGTTAAGCGACTGCCTTCGGCTCAGGTCATGATCCCAGGGTCCTGGGATCGAGCCCCTCATTGGGCTCCCTGCTCAGCTGGAAGCCTGCTTCTCCCTCTCCCACTCCCCCTGCTTGTGTTCCCTCTCACGCTGTCTCTCTCTCTCACTCTCTCTCTCTGTCAATTAAATAAATAAATAAAATCTTAAAAAAAAAAAAAGAAAAAGAAAGTGGAAAATATAACGACTAACCAAGAAGAATGCCAGAATAATTTATTATGGAATACATATTATTGTAGACAAAGTTACAAAATATAAATGTGTTTCAGTTTTGAAGTCTTTACTGAGAAAACAGTAGCTATGGGCTATTATTCATAAAACTTTTGTTGCTATTGACAAGGGGAGAGGAAGGAGATGAACTAAATAAACCATTTAGAGAAATTGGAGTTTAAAATACTGTAGTATGATTTCATAGAGGGAGAAGTAGAGCAATACCTAGAAAGGAGTAAGTCAACAAGTTAGTTAGAAAAGGTTTGAAAGGGGTGCCTGGGTGGCTCAGTCGGTTAAGCAACGGCCTTCAGCTCAGGTCATAAGGTCCTGGGATCGACCCCTGCTTCTCCCTCTCTCTCTGCTGCTCCTTCTGCTTCGGCTCTCTCGCTCATGCTCTCTCTCTCAAGTAAATAAAATCTTTAAGAAAAAAAAGAAAAGGTTTGAAAAATTAGGAAGTTAGGAAAGTTAGGAAAGAAAAAAAGTTGAAACAAGATTGTGATTAGCCTCTTTCAGCCATCCTCATCTTTACCATCATATAACTATACTTATGTCTAGGTATCTTCTAAATTAACTTAAATTTCTTTTATTGAGGTGAAAATTTACATAAAATACAGCTATTTAAACATGTACAATTAAAAAAATGTAGAATTCAGTGCTATTTAGTGCATTCGCCATGTCATGCAACCACCACCTGTATCTATTTGCAAAACATTTTCATCACCACATATCCATCAGGTAGTCTGTCCCTATTTCTCTCCTACCCACCCCCTCATTGGCAATCACCAATCTGTTTTCTTTCTCAATGGATTTAGCTATTCTGGAGAGTTCATACAAATGAAATTATACAATGTGGACCTTTTGTGTCTGGTTTCTTCCACTTAGCATAATGTTTTTGAGATTCGTCTACTTTATGTATCAGTACTTCATTTATTTTTATGGCTGAATAATAGTCCATTGTATAAATGTCACATTCTGTTTATTCATTCCTCTGTTGATGGGCATTTGGGTTGTCTTTTGGGTTTTAATTGTGCTGCTATAAATATTCATGTGTAAGTTTTTGTGTGAACATCTGTTTTCAATTCTTTTGGGTACATATCTAGGAGTGGAATTTCTGGGTCATAAGGTAATTGAATGTTTAACTTCATTGAGGAACCACCAAACATTTTCCATAGCAACCATACCATTTACATTTCTACTAGCAATGTTTGAGGGTTGTAGTTTTTCCACATCCTCTAAAACACTTAACTTTCCACTTTTTTGAATATAGCCATTCTAGTCAGTTTGAGTGCCATGTCATTTGGTTTTGATATTGATCATTACTTCATATGCTTATTAATAGCTATTAACATATATTCTTTGGAGAAATGTCTATTTAAGTCCTTTAAAATTGGGTTGTCTTGTTAAGTTGTAAGAGTTCTTTATATATTCTGGATACTAGACTCTTAATCAGATATATGATTTACAAATATTTTCTCTCTTCCTATATTAATTTTTCCACCTGTGTCCTGGAAGTCATTTCTTCTTCTGAAAAATCTTGGCCATAAATATATTGCTAACTGTGCCTTTGACACTTACTCCTTCCTTAAGGCCTTCAGATAATGCTCATTGTAAAAGACACTTGATGTTTCTTAAACTGGGTGCTGGGTACATGGGTGTCCATTTTATTTACATTTTTTTAAAAGATTTTATTTATTTACTTGACAGAGACACAGCGAGAGAGGGAACACAAGCAGGGGGAGTGGGAGAGGGAGAAGCAGGCTTCCCGCAGAGCAAGGAGCCCGATGCGGGGCTCCATCCCGGGACACTGGGATCATTACCTGAGCCGAGGGCAGACGCTTAACGACTGAGGCACCCAGGCGCCCTTATTTACGTATTTTACTGTTACTCATATATAGGTTATATTCCTTCTTGCATATATAAGAAAAAAAATATAAAGGCTTGGCAATGCTGCTTCCTCTCATTACTACCCCATTCTCCTATTTCTTCTCTTTTCATTGACATACCTCTAGAACGAGTGGCCAATATTTTCCCCTTCATTTTATCTACAGCTAATTCCTCTTTAATCCTTTGCAATACAACTTCTTTGCCCATCTTGAAATAATAACACCTTTGAGTCTCAGCCCCACCTCCATCTTTATTCTTTCTTCCCAGAAGTCACTAATGACTCACCTTGTTACAATATGCAGATGACTCTTCAATCCGAGTCTCCAAACCGAAGCCCTAACCCAAGTTTTAGATCTCTAACTATATCCTGGATAGTCCCAGTCTTTTACTTTACCAGATATATTTCCCCTATTAATCAAGTTTTTTTTTTTCTAATCCAAATCCCATTTCTTCAAACCACATTAGTTTCAGTAGCAAGAGTTTTGTAGAAATTGCTGGTTCCTCCCTCTTCCTCTTATATGTTAGTTAGCACGTCTTGCGATTTCTTCTTTAAACGCCTTTCATTTCCACTCAGTGGCTATCACCCCATTTCAATCCATTATCACAGGGTTCTGGAATTATTTCAACAGCGCTTCTCCGCCTGACTCCACTTCCTTTCCCTACTTGAGTGATGATGGAGATTTTTAAGAAAAGTGATAGGATGAAACGTGGTGCTAGATAAGAAAGATTCCTTTGGGGGCACCTGGGTGGCTCAGTTGTTAAGCGTCTGCCTTCGGCTCAGGTTATGATCCCAGGGTCCTGCGATCGAGCCCCGCATCGGGCTCCCTGCTCGGCGGGAAGCCTGCTTCTCCCTCTCCCACTCCCCCTGCTTGTGTTCCTTCTCTCACTGTGTCTCTCTCTGTCAAATAAATAAAATCTTAAAAAAAAAAAAAAAAAGAAAGATTCCTTTGGTAGTATCGTGGAAGATAAAGTGGAGAAGGGAGGGTGTTGACATGAAGCGACGAAGCTCTAGATTGTGGCAATGGCGGTAGAGAAGATGCATGAAAAAGCGTAAAGTCCACCGGTGACCAGTTGGAGCTGCAAGGACTTATATCTAATATCCTGTATTCTACTCCCATAAATTAAGTACGTCAAGCGAATTTTTGCTAAGAGAGGCAAACCCGTGCCTCTGTAAGGATTGTCACGCTCGGGGTGAGCCAACCAGCCTCCATCATCCAGATGGCAGATCCCAGATTGGCCGCCGGAGTGTCAGGGAGCGGCCTCTCTAGCTACTATCTCTATGGTTCGCGGAATCTCCAGGTCGCGGTTTGACCGGGCCGGCGTTTGCGCGTGCGCGAACTACGGCGCGTGCCCGCCCTCCCGCAACTGCCCGGAGCCCCGGGTGGGAGGGGTGGGTCTGGGAAGGTTGCGGCGGCGGCCGCCGTGGCCCCAGCCCCTAGGGTTATTCCCGGGCCGAGCCTGTGCCGGGGACTCTTCCGTCGCCTCCTCGGGCGGCATTCACCCGGCCCTAGATGGTGGGTCCGGAGGATGCCGGAGCCTGCTCGGGAAGAAACCCCAAGTTGTTCCCGGTGCCGGCGCCGGAGCCCGTGGGCCAGGACGGGAAGATGATCCGGGCCACAGGAGGTTTTGGCGGAGGCGTCGGCGCGGTGGAGCCGCCGGCGGAGGAGGAGGAGGAGGAAGAGGAGAAGGAGACGCCGCCTCAGCAGCTCCTTCGGCGCTACCTCGCGGCGGCAGGAGGACAGCTGGAGCCGGGGCTGTGCTACTGTCCACTCCCGGCTGGCCAGCCCCGCGCCCCGCCGCTCCCGGCAGCTCCGCGCTCGGACGCCTGCCCGCGGGACTCGGGCTCCAAGCACCGAGACGCGGAGGTGGCGGATGCCCGCGCTCCGCGGCACAGAGGCATGACCAACGGGGACTCGGGCTTTCTGCCGGGCCAGGACTGTCGGGACCTGGAGGAGGCTCGCGGGCTGGCCTGCGCGGGCGGCCGGGATCCGCGCCACCGCCGCCTCCGCCCGGAGGGGCCTGGCGACGAGGGCGCGGACGGCGCGGGCAGCCCGTCCGACTGGGCCGCGCCGCTCGAAGACCCGCTGCGGAGCTGCTGCCTAGCAGCGGCGGACTCTGACAAGCCCCAGGGCGCGGGCAGCGGATCGGAGGGCAGCCCGGCCAGCGACGGCAGCAGCTGCGAAGACTTGGAGCGGCCGGGAGACGGCGCTGGGGGTCCCGAGGAGGGCGCGTCCGCCGCCGCCTCGGCGGAGAGGACTAGCGGGGACGCCGGCGCTGAGCCGCGCCCTGGCGTCTCGGACGTTCAGGTGAACTCTCGGAACACGTTCGAGGTGAGCCGCGACCACCTGCCCGCCGCCGGGCCGCCGGTGCCCGCGCCCGCCACGGAGCAGGGCGCCGCGGGGACCTCGGCCCGGGCTCGACGGAGCGGCGGTTTCGCCGACTTTTTCGCCAGGTACAGCGCCCGCTGCGCCGGGGCTCGGGGCGGGCTCGGGGCCGGGGCGGAGGTTGAGGCCGGGCGCTGGCCGAGAGCGGCTTGCGGACCGCCTCCGTGCGGGCTCTTTGCTGGCGTCAGGACTTAGCTTTGATTTGTCACCGGGGGAAGAGGAACTGGGTCAGCATTGTGTTGCCTGTAGGAGAAGTTGCCAACTTTGTGGGGAGCGAATCTTTCTGTTCCCCTGTGGGCTGGAGGCTATACCTGCTATTCACACCTGGTTTCCGTGTATTCAGGTCCTGGCAGTGTGCTCATGCCACAGCTGCAGTTTTGCCTCCTCCGGAAAAGCAGACAACCTGCTCGGTTCTCAGTTTATTTTTACTGTACTACGAGGATTAGGAGTGGGGAGTGGGGGTGGGCGCGGCGCTATGTGTGTACGGGTGTGGTTGTGAAAGAGAAAGGGAAGTCATTTTGCAGAGATGACTATTTGTGTGGAGTCTAAACCCATTCAGGTGGCTTGGGAATTCTTGAAATTAGAAGTGATTGTGTTTCATAGTGTTTAACTGTTTCAATGGCCTTTATTAAAATGCAGTCAGTTTCGAGTTTAGAATTTGATCCCAGCCCTTAAAGCCAAATTACTATGGCGCTTTATCTAGAAAATCCCTCTTCTCTACTTATTCCAAATAGGCCTACACTTTTTTCAGCAACTTTTTAATTTTTGTGCCATTGTATTTGTGTTTTGACCTGCCATTCTTGAAATCAAGTTATGGTGCTGGACATTGCAGATTTCGGAAAAGGGTTTGATAGGGATAAAATGCTCATCCTATTGCACATTAATGAAATGCCAATTTTCCCGGAGTCAGATCTTGCTTGATACGCTTTTTTTTTTTTTTTCTTGTAATCTCTAGGCAAATAGGAGAGTATTCCCAACTTGTAAACTCTCCTTTTCAGAGTTCTCCTGTGTTTTTGTTTCCTTTTCAGGGGTCTTGATAGAAACGAAAGAAACAAATTATGCAGCTCCAGTTTTAGAGGATTATACAATCTGTGTGCATTTTTGTAGACACAGTCACAGTTTTCTGATTGTAATTATTTCTTTTTCTATTTTATTATCTATTATTTTCCCTTGTATGAATTTACAAAAATTTATAAAGTTGTTTACATCAAGATTGGGAAATTCTAATTTTGTGTTACTGGTGGGACAAAATATATAGTAGTGAGATCTGTATTTGTGCCTATAGTTGCAAAAATATACTTAAAGCTTAGAGTGGCAATATTTTTTTTTAAAGATTTTTTTATTGATTCATTTGAGACACAGAGATAGAGCATGAGCAGGGGGAGAGGCTGAGGGAGAGGGAGAAGTAGGATCCCCGTTGAGCCAGGAGCCCAATGTGGGGCTCCATCCCAGGACCCTGGGATCATGACCTGAGCCCAAGGCAGACACCTAACCATGTGAGCCACCCAGGTGCCCCTATAGTGGCAATATTTTAAAAGCTTGCAAGGTGAGCTAAGTTCATACATTTGTGAACTTTGGGTGTTTTTTGGTCATGTTTTGATGTCAGGTGTCAGGCAATTTTAGACCTGGAAGGGGCTTTGGAGATTGCTAATTCAGTCACTGTACCCAGAATACCTGCTTGTGCCACCATTGGGAATAGAGATGATTTGGACAGTGGAGTGCAGGCTAGTAGGTATTAAGTTTGAAGACAGATACATTTTTATGCATTGCAAATTATGAACAATAGCAAAGCAAATCTATTATAAGAGGTTTTTCATATTAACAGTAGGGAGGAATTTTGATATAATTAAAATTTTTTTCTTAATCTGTAGACTAATAGGATTTCAGTTAATATAACTAGCTGATATTCATATAGCTACATTAATCATGTGTATCAGAGCACTCGATTTCAAGTCAGTAAACAGGTACCAGAAGTTAATTTCTCTAAGCCTCATTTTTTAATTGACATCTGAATGTCAAGATTCTAGGTGTCAATTGCTTCTTTGTATAACATACTTGGGAAAGGGCACAGAGGCACAATTTTTCTTTTAGCATTTAACCAAAACCTTAACTGGATTCAAAACTCCTTAAAGGCAGAGACTATGATATTCATCTCTGAGTCTACAGTATCTAGCGGTGGTATTGAGAACCTTGCTCAGTTTGTGTTGAATTGGCAACTTTTATAGACTCTTCCTCTTCACTATTCTCTAGGTAGTGTAATTTTGTTTTTTTGTTAGTAAGCCAGTTCGGGGTTTGAACTCATGACCCTGAGATCAAGACCTGAGCTGAGATCAAGAGATCAACTGACTGAGCCACCCAGGTACCCCAAGTAATTTTGAAGAAATCTCCCATCCTTGGGCAGAATGGTCAGAAATTTCCTTTGCCTTGACAACCTATGAGGGGTTTTTTTGTTTTTTTTCTTTTCCCTTTGTGTGTACAATTGTCATTCTTAACTCTGAAGCTCCATATGAGGAATCCCTTTGGGGATATCTTATTCTAGGATGTATTCTCCTTCTTGGGTGCAACTGCTACCTACTGCCACTTCATTTTTTGATGAGGAAATTCACTGTCTACATGAGGTATTTTAGGTAGCTGATGGCAGAGCTGGAATTAGAAACCAGGATTCCTGATTTTCAGAGCAGGTTAACATTCGATCACAATTTATAATCACCTGTGGCTTTTTTCTCTCCCACCTGATTATCCTCCTCTTTCCCTTCTTTCTACTTCCTTTCTCTATCTTAACCTGGCAAAAGTCTGTAACAGAAATACTTTTAAGGAATAGTTTCATGTTTGTTTTAACTTAAGAGAGGGGAACATTTTACAGTGGTTTATCTATTACTACAAAGTTATCTTCAGTTAAGACACATCATTGACAGAAGATTCATTGAGTAGGGTAGAAATTCTGTAGGAGCTAAAGGAATTTGGTCGAGGATGGGATTGCTCTCCATCTCCTACTTTCCTTCTCTTCCAGATGAGGTGAGTTCTAGTTCATTCCCTGTTGGGGGCTTGCCTCAGCTTCACATGGGCATCTCTCTGTGAATGGTGACTTGACCTTGGGAGCCCCAGAAGTAATATTCCCTCAGATCCGTGGTCTTTTCCTGTCCATAAATGTTTTAAAATGCTAGGTGGGGAGCGCCTAGGTGGCTCAGTCATTTGAGCTTGTGCTCTTGGTTTCTGCTCAGGTCATGATCTGAGGATTGTGAGATCCAGCTCCTTGCTCATTGGGGAGTCTGCTTGAGATTCTCTCCCTCCCCCTCTGCCCCTCCACTGCTCGTGTATTCTCTCTCTCTCTCTCTCAAATAAATAAGTAAATCTTAAAAAAATAAAATAAAATACTAGGTGGGTACACTACCCCCACTGTCACCAACTTAGCAGTAAGAAGGAGGAGATGAAAACTTAAAAAAAAAAAAAAAAAATCTTGTGGTTCCAGACTAGCCTTCGTTCTTTAAGGATCTGTTTATTACTCTTTCAAAAATAAAATAAATTTAAATTATTTTTATGGGTCCTTCAAGCAAATTCATGTCTTAATTTTTTTCAAACTAGAAAGATTTATTTTTTGGATAGGTACACCCTTTACAGATGTATTTTTTTAAGCCATTTAATACTTTTGAGTTTTGTTTAGATTGCACTGGCAAGGTACTGTTATTTAGAAACACATAGGTATCTGTTGCTGATAATTTTTTTTTTTTTTTACAAAGTCTTCATGTGAATCATGAGAATTTGGTGGCCTTAAAGGGCATAGCTAAGGTAGAAAAGAAAGTATTAAAAAGAGAATTGACATAGATTATGAAACATACAGATCCATGTAGCTTTTTCTATAATTACTGACTTCTGAAACTTACTAAACGTTGTGGTAAAAGATTATTTTCACAGAACTCTTTTATTACAGTTAGGCAGAATAAGGAAGACTAAAGGCTCTTTTAGTGATTTCTTTTCCTTTTTTTAAATTTTTTATTTTATTATGTAGGCTCCACACCCAACGTGGGACTTGAACTCACCACCCCGAGATCAAGACCTGAGCTGAGATCAAGAGTCAGACACTTAACCGACTGAACCACTCAGACGTCCCATGCAATTTTTCTTTATTGTTCTCAGAAACAACAAAATCAACCACATTCCTTTTTCCACTTAAAATTTACACTAGTTGGCAAAATCATAATTCACCTGACTGAACCATCATAGACTTCTGTCAGATAGGGCTCCCTTATTTGTTGCACAGCGTGTATTCCTCCCAACCAACTAAAATAAAATAAAATAAAAACCTATTTCTCAAAAAATTCCTTTTTCAACATTTCAATAAAGAAGAGGCAAAATATCAAATTTCTGATAAGTTTTAAAAGATTTTTATAGCTCCCCAAATCAAGCATTTAATATAGGTGTGGTATAGTTATTTGTAAGGAGAATGAAGGAATATCTTGATCTAAATATTACATTTTTGTTACTGCAAGAAATTAAAAATATGTGAAAATACTCTTTTCTATGTCATTAATGAAACTCCTTTAACATTACTTATATAATTAAAATATTTGAAATTTTTAGAAAAGCTGAAAATAATACGCAATTCATTGCTCTAGAATAAAAATAAGGCTCTTTTTAAGATTTTAGAGTGTTGTGAAGCTACCCATTATATTAGATTGAGGAGCTAATGGCTCAAGAGCCTTTCGTATTTGTTCCCTGTGTCTGATACCCGCTCCCCTCCCCCAGTCTATCCAGTGTTTTCTTAAAACACAAAACGCTAAACCACTGAAATCCAGCTCTGGTTTAAGGATGTTACCTTAGAAATTTGTGGTTTTAGGGTGGATGGTTAGAAATGTGATAATCTAAATATAAATCAGGTAGAAAATACTGGGGAACTCCAATTTTTCTGAAACTAAGATAATTTTAAGATAGTGTGGGGGGGTGGGCAGTGGAAGAGGGAAAGAGAGAATCTTATGCAGGTGCCAGGCCCAGCACAGAGCTGACATGGGGCTCAATCTCACAACTGTGAGATCATGACCTGAGCTGAAATCAAGAGTCAGACACTTAACCG